TAACTCTCTCAACATAGACTCGGTCAATTTGCCCAACCATGTCACCTCTTTGTACTTGATTAAAGTCTTTATAGATTTAATACTTCTAGCTTTCAATATAGTGTGTATATCTTCAAAAAATTTGGCAGTCTTTAAGTTCATATTATGTCTTTCACATACAAAAAATCATATTTTTAGTGAAGTATTTTTAATAAAATAAAAATTTGTCCATTAATATATTGAATATTTATTTTGAATATTCCGTGCCCAAAGTAATTTTCATGTTACAATTAAAAATACTTTCCTCATTTCAAAAATATCAAATTTCCTTTCTGTAATCCCTAGAACCTCCTAAATGCATTTCAAATGTGATTTTTTTGCAGTAAAACTTTATAGTTTATCTTTTATTTTCTCTACTGTATCTCAAATGGGATCTGTCAATTCGACCGATCTCGTAACCAAAAATAAAATTAAAATAAACCAAAGTTACCCTTTTTTTCTTTCTAGAATGATTTCAAATTATAACATAAAACTACATTCTTTATCTTAAGTAGCTCTAAGTTCGTAACAGAATACATCTACTTATAATTAAATTTTATTGTTTTATTGCCCTCTGAACCGTGTAACTACTATCTGCACCATTATATATTGTAAATCACTTGGGGAGCATGCACCTCACATTACTCAATTGAATTACATTACCCACAAGCTGCTCGTGTGCTTGCCTCATGAATAATTTTAATTATATTATTATTATTACTTATTTTACCTAATCTAGTCTTAAGTAACTTAAAAAGACCCGTAGTTTTAGATTTTAGTTACTTTTATAATAATAAATAAAAAATAAATATGAAAAACAAATAAAGTACTTACCCAGTCCTTTTTTTTCTTGCTTTCAGGTTTTCGAAGAGAGTTAACCCTAATTTTTTATACTATAGATAGTAATGCACTTAATAATTTTTATTCATTTAAATAATGCACCAAAGAATACAGACTAATAACATGCAAAAGTAGACAAATTCACTTACCTCTCAAAATTTTCCTGGCTTTCTATCTATGTGACAAGAATCATTACAAATTCATCTAAGTTAGTCGTTAACTTTCCAACAGGAACGTTGCTCGTACTCTGAATCAAATTGATATTTAACGGTTCAGAACATAACGTTATACAGTACGTAATTTGATAGATGAAAACCTTGAATTCTATTGGTTATAGGTAATATATAATGAAATGTAAGAGAGAAGTATCAATGAATTGTGAAAGAGTGGATGTGACAGGTGGGTGTGACAGGAGGGGTCTGATTTTCTATTTGATAGCTCTGTAATCAAACAAAATTGAAGGCTATAAAAATTATGGTTTGTTTGAGCAATAACAATATTATAGAAAGTATTTTACATTTAATTTTTTGAGGGGTGGTGGATAAAATAGGGATGATGACATGCCAAGAGAAATTGTGTCATGTGGGTCACACTAGTGGAAATTCAGGACTTTATTAAATGTTGCCTTGTAGAATTAAGAACTTAAAATTTGTATACTATTAAAATATGGATTATTAGCTATTATAATTGGTATAACAAACAAAAAGTAGTTTAATAAAATTTTTAATGTCAGACGCTAAAACCTTGTGTCATGTGCAGTAAAGGATACCCGGGGCAATAGGGTTAACTCACCTGTATTGTAGGATACGTCTTGCAGTCTGCAGTGCTATTTGCTCCAGGAATACTTCCAGCAGATCGACCTTCGCACTCATATCTGAACCTTAATGCACGAGATGCAGGCTGCTCCACAAGTCTTACATAAGGGGTAGGGTTTGTTGGCACCAATTTTGAAGTAACAAGAGAAACAGATGGGTCCATGACCTGCTGGTAAATCACTTCTTCTGAAAAAGTATGATGCTTTAACTGAGTAAACAACCTTATAAGTAAGTTCTTCACTTTCATAAACTGAAAATTATGTCACAGGAGGAACAATATTTTTGGTAATAATTTGCTAGGACTTAACTACAACTTACAACTTTCACCCTCTCATTTTGTTCCAATATATAAATAATCACACCAAATTTTATCCCTACTGAATAATATTTAGGGGTTGCTCAAGGTAGATGAAATTTTACCTTTTGCCTTGCGTTATATTTGCATATTCTAGAAAATACCCAAAATACTCAAATTCTAGAAGATTCAAGATAATTCTAGAATGTGATAGCACATTATTATGAAATATTCTAGCACATTCAGGAATATTCCAGAGTATTTCATATCATTCCCATTGTTCAAGAACCATCCAACTATAAATAATAATTGCTGTAACATTTTACTTCTGGAAAATTCTGTATGACATGACTAGTTTCTAGAACAAGTGGATCATCTGTCAGTGATTCTGTCTGGAGCAGGAGTAAACCAACTCCTAGATGTTCACAAGTTGATTTACAGCACTGGAGAGGCTCAAGCTTCTTCTGTGACACATTTGCTGGAAGAGTGAGGAGTCATTGATTGTGTAAAGGCAGTTTGCTTTAACACAACAGCAAACAGCACTGATCACAAAAATGAAGCATGTGTTCCGTTAAAATAAAAATTAAACAAGACTTATGTATTTGGCATGCTAGTATTATATCTTAGAACTTGTCCTGGTAAATATTTTCAAAGGCTGTATGGGGCTTTCCTCTGGTCCAGATATTGCAATTTTCAATTGATTCCAGCAATCTTGGATATATATGTACCAGTCCAATTATGAAACTGCAGTTGACCATGATGAAGTAGCAGAAGTCATAGAGGAAGTTAAAGACTGTCACTGAGTTTGCTAAATCTTTGGGTCAGCCAACCTGAGAGACAATTATTGAGAATTTCTTGAATTAGCTATAACTTTTTTGGGTAGCATCCCATTTTATAGAATGCAATTTATAGCACTTGGTACACTGCATCATGCGTGATGGATGGCAAAGGCATTATATGTCCTCAAGATCTAGATGTTTAAGGGAGAGTTTAAGCTCACTGACTGTGAGGAAAGTGGCCTCTGTGATATCTGCATCTTTGTTGTTTGAGTCTATCCTAGAGCATGGTTCACTGCTCCTGATATTTCTGCTCCTAGCAGTGATTTTAACTTCTTACAATATCTTTTTTTAAGTACAAGAAGGTGAATTTGGCCATTTCAAAATCTACCTGTCAAAAATTTGCTGGACATCTTGGTATTAGTATCTCAATGAGGAACTCATTGGTTTGGCATTCTTCTTATTCAGCTGTACACATAGAGACAAAACAAGAAGTGGTAAAAGTGTTAAGTGAGAAGGAAGACATAGATGAACCTTCAAAGTGCATCCAGCTAAATATCAGAAAGTCTGAAAACATGGCAATTAAATATTCTGTCACAAAGAACACAAAAAATAGTGCCATTTGTATTTATAGATTATGACCCTGAGGTATGAGAGCTCAGAAAGGACTACAGGGAGGCACTACAGACAGTTCAACAGTTGAATGTGGTAAATGATAATGCTGAAAGGGTTATGGCTCTTATTGAAGAACAATATAATGTCATCATAACAAAGAAAGAAGAGTAGAAGCAATTCCTCCTTCAAGTTGTGCAGTATCACAGAAGACACTTTCTTCATAGCTAAAAGGAAACAATAACAATGCAAAAGTGACTAACCACACCAAGATCATATAGTGAAGTAATTATCTGAATGTACATGCAACAAAATAATAACATACTTTAAATAAATTATTTATAACACATATGTTGTTAAATAATATAATACATAAGGGTACCAGGCTACTACAGTCTGGAATTTCAATCTCATTGAGCAACCTCTAAAAATGGTCCAAAATGGGTTAAGTTTGACACTGAATGATTTTTTTTTTGTATGGAACAAAATTAGGGGGTGAGATTTTAGAATTTTTTACCTGAAATCTTACCTACAAATAAGGACCACTCTAGTGTACATTTACTGAAATATACTAATAATAATAATAAAGCAAAATAAAGTTCACTGACAAAATTTACATACCTATGGAATTTTAACGTAAGAAATTTAAACATAAATGAGCATGTAATAAATTACAACTGTATGCTGAATACAAACACACTCACACTAGTATTAGTTTGCAGCCAATGTTCTGTAGAGAAGTTTCTAGTTACAAAGCTAGGTAAAGCAGCATGCACATATTTCACTTGTTTCTCAAGTTTATATAAATTTAGAAAGAGAAGTTAATTGTTGAAAAACATGTTACAAACACCATAGAGCTACTCTTATTAATAGACCATTAGTTATTTTATGCATATCAGTGGTAATGCAAAAGATTAGTCGTCTCAAACTTCATGAAACTGTCTTGTAAGCCTTAAAAAAGCTGAGTTAGTTTTAATGCCAGCCTTACCCACATCTTCAATGGTGAGAGAGTCCCGAGTAGGCTGAGCCCCTGTAGGAAACATGCCAGAGTATTCAAAATGTTGCAGAAATGCACAACACCTACAGCAGAACAATACATTCCATGTAACATAAAGCTGGTTATAACCCCATCAGAATTACATAGGTAATTTTTAGCAGGCATGCAAACATTTTGTTAAAGCACTAAATCCCCATGAAAGTGTAGAATCTAGTTTTACAGTGAAACAAAAGTAATACTAGGATAGTAGTTGAAAAACACCAATAGCAGAAACTGCAGCAGCTTTAGAATGATATTAAAATATTAAAACAGTACTTCAAAAAAATTAAATCCAACTTTTAATTAAACATTAGATAACCCAGGAAATGAACTTGTACAGACACTGGTGTACATAGATACAGGGGTTGTTAAAGACCTCAACTTCTTTTTGTGTGTGTGTGTGTGTGTGTGTGTGTGTGTGTGTGTGTGTGTGTGTGTGTGTGTGTGTGTGTGTGTGTGTGTGTGTGTAGTACAGTTGTAGTGTTTTAATTCATTTGTATCCACAGGCACAGGTAAACACCTGTGTTTTGGTTATATATGCAAGTATCATGTTAACTTAATTTGGGGGCAAAGGTAAGAATGGGTATCAATCAAGAGTACAAACATTGTTTTAGATATGTTGCAATAATATACATATATACACACACACACAAAGCAAGATTTATTAAATTCAGTCATGGACTTCATATATGAACACTATCAATTCAAGTACCATGTGGCTCAGAGTGTAAACTTACTTAAACCATTTCATTTATTTACAAATTAGTCAGTTAATCTTATTTCAATATTAGCTTTAACAGCATCTTTCACTGGACTGTAATTTGTTTTTTACAATTTCAACGCTGCAAATGAAAATGATATCAAAACATATTTTTCATGAACTACAGAATATGAAATTGGGTTTGTAACTACTGGACATTACATATTATACTGCCCTTCCACTAATTTGCAAAAACAGGAAGTCCAAGGCATCAAATTCATAAATCCATTGAATAACCTGAAGGTCTCAGAACACTGTACTATATGCTAAATGTTGCTACAACCATATAACATTGTCACACTCTTAACACAGTGAATGTTGTTTATCTGGTTATATATATATCTGTCTGTGTGTGTGGTGCTGTTAAGGATGAAGCTAAGAAATGCTACAAGTGGTACTTGTGTATTCCAAGTATTTTCAGAAGTTACAATCGTAGCCAAACAAACATGGTGTTTTTCTAAGTTGATAGTAGATAATGAACAGCCAAGATTGTGATCTATTCTTGTGATAATCACAAGTGAGCTACAGAGATTCAAAAGGCAATTTAAATTTTAAAATATTTTTTCAGAGTTTCAGCAATAAAATAGGATTGGTTGGAAACTGAAAACAAAGGTACCAAGATATTACAAATATTTCAAAGTGTTATGAAAATAGCACAACAAACATGTCTCACAGTGCCGATGGCAGAGCCTGACTAACTAAGGTCACAATTTGCTTTTATGATCATTACCAGTGAACTACAAAGAATCAAAAGGCAACTTTAAATTTTAAAACCCATATCAAGAATTTATTTTTTTACAATTTGGAGCTAGCAGAACCAAATTTAGCAGGTGGACTTGTGTGGCCCAATGGGTGTGCTTATCCATGTGTCATAAACCCCTCCCCTTACAAAGAGGGACTAAAATGCATCTGGATGGTCACACAGACATAATGGGCATTTAGGAGTATGTTTGCAGAGTTATGAATTTGAAACTATTGTCAGAATTTGTGTTCCAGGTCCGCACAATATCCCAGGGGAATAATTTTTAAAACATGTTGATACCCTCATGTGCCAAGTTTGGTCCCACCAGCTCAGGTATTATGGGCAGGTGTCCTAATGTTTTGTTTTCAGGTCTTAGGATATTTATAGAAGTAAATGGAGATAATATAGGAGTTTGACTGGTACACTGCGCCTCTCTGATTCATAAGGTGCTTTTGCAATCCACTGTACAACATGGGTATTTTGTACTACTGGGATGAAAGCATGGACAATCACAGACTTACAAAATTTCAGTTTTTCACCTTTCAAAAGGAAAATTCTGGGCATATAATATGCTGAGACATTCACTAACAGAAGCACTGATCACAGAAACCAATTAGCATCTAATCATAAAACCTGCATCAAAAGGCATACATTTTCATAAATTTTGTTAAAGATATAAAGATAATTTGACAGTCAGCAAAATAAAATATATGATTTAAAAAACAACTTACTAGTTTGTCCTTGGTTATCCTGCAATAAATTGGCACTATTTCAGTCTGTATTCAGTCTATACAAAGTAGATTGATCAAGATTGTTAGTACTAAGTATAGCTTTACTACATCATTTAGCAAAAGAGCAACTGTATACTAGCAGAAGCATCTAACTATAATGAAATAAAGAAAGTGTACTCTAAATAAATAAAACAGATGTATATCAAAGCAATGATGTGTGCATCTTATCCTAATGATACCATAGTAAAGTTTCTACTCTGCCCCCACTATTTTTTTTGTTTCATTTTCTTCTAATACTATTGGCTGGAGATAAGTTTTTTTACACAGTACAAAATACACCACCTCCAGTTATTTGATTATGCTATCTGACATTAAGGATAAAAGTATGTTTGTTTTTTAATAGTAATTTGAAACATATAAGCACAAGTGTAATACTACTCTAGCACTCTCATTCATGCAATTCACTATCGTTAAACCATTAACTGTTTATCGTATTTGTTTCATCCAACATAAATCTTATCTTATGTCTTTTCTAATCTCAAAATAAGAATAAACATGATGCTTCAAGATTTGACAATACATCACAATCTCATAGGCAAACTGTCCTACTGACAACAGTCTGTTTGACTGCTAGTATACCTAGCTATTATATGTATCATTAAGTTTCCCTTTGTAAAAAGTCTAAATGTTGGTAAATCTGCCGTGGCTATTTTTCCTATTAACAAAACTGTGTAAGCACAGTGGTAAGATTACTATACACAGTCTTCCACTGATAGTGGTCTATTACAACAGTGATAAACCTAACTATTGCAGACTGAATCTCCAACTATCAAAGTTCTGTTGAAGTGGTAATAAGTTTAACTATTTATTCCAAATACTATTTTTTAAGAACACATCAAAATACTAGCAAGCTCAGCTACTAGGTACCCACTTTCAACAGTCATTGATATATTCTTAATCAAAACCATGGCGTTTTATATCATCAACATAACCTTCTAAGAAACACTACTATTACAATTCAGTTTAACTAAACAAGAAAAAACTTAAATACAATTACATTTCAGCTCTACATAAATTTCACAAAAACATGAGCACATGCTTGATGGCCAAGTTTATATTGGTTTGTTTTGTTTGCTTATTAGGTATGTGTATCTCATGCTAAGATATTTTGGTAAAGCATGTGCACATTATAGCTTAAGTAAAAGGAATCACAACCATTTCTGTTAAATTTACATGACTCAAAACACCAATGAAATAATTGGTGAGATAACTTTATATTCTCAAATAATAACCCTCATTTAGAAAACTACATATCCCTCAAGTGAATATGTTCGTATTTGATAGATGGCTTACAGATAGTCAAGAAGCTATGAACTTGACATTTTATTATAGATATACAAATAATTCCACTAACAATTTATTAACTCGGCAATCCACATCTCAGAAAAATGCTATTACTAAAGTTTTTCTTTTATAAATTGAGACCAATCATTCATCTCAAACCTAGTATAACTCCAACAAGGTAAATTTTATAACATTTTCTCAACTTACTTTAAATTATCTTTTTGATACCTACTTATTTATAAGCCTAAAACAATGGATGCTAAAATTTTAGTCTCAATATCTATATGTCATTTTTTACAATTATCTTAAACAGTCTTATTTATTTAAGGAGATTTGTTTGTTTGTTTTGTTTTGTGAATTTCGCGCAAAGCTACACGAGAGCTATCTGCGCTAGCCGTCCCTAATTTAGCAGTGTAAGACTAGAGGGAAGGCAGCTAGTCATCACCACCCACCGCCAACTCTTGGGCTACTCTTTTACCAACGAATAGTGGGATTGACCATCATATTATAACGCCCCCGCGGCTGAAAGAGCGAGCATGTTTGGTGGTATGCGGATTCGAACCCGCGACCCTCAGATTGCGAGTCGAGCGCCTTATCCACCTGGCCATGCCGGGCATTTGTATAGTTATTAAAATAAAACTAGTTACCCTTATAATTATAAACATTTCTCATTCAGCAAACAATAATTGGTTTCTTACATTGTGTTGTGGTACATAAGGGCTTTAGACATTTATTTCATTACCTGTACTCCAGATTTTTTTATTGGGGCCAGATTACCTTTCAGTTTCCCAACTTTTGTTTTCAGATGGAAGATATAATTCAGTGACCCACACACACACACACCTGCAAAGTTCACTAAGCTACTGTGAGTTATACAATTTTCAGGTGCCTGCTATTATCTGTCCAGATTATTAAAAATAACAAACAAAATAAACTAAGTCTGATTGATTATTATATCATAGTTTCTAAGTCTACTTTAAACACCAATTTAGTAATTAAAGGCCTATTACTTATTAGCCATCTATAACAAATGTATTTTTCTCAAGACAAGCATACATTGGTGTTCTTTTCATAAAAAAAAAAAAATTGTCTGACATTAGAAATAAAGACTGATGAAACATTCAGTGTTTGTACAGCAAATACACAATGACAACACACGTCTTAGTACCTCACATAACTGAATGACTAATTATCTAGATCTGGATTATATCATCGTGGTTATGTTTCCTAGTACTTTTTGAACAGTTCTCTTTTAGTACCGAACTAAAATATCTCCTCTGATTCCATTATTTCAGAACTATATGTCTCATTAGTTCACTTTTACCTCTTGGTTTCTTTCAAATGTGATGATTTACTATTCCACATTTAATCTTAATATAAGTCTTTATAGTACTCAATATAAGAAATATGAAACATTTAATTCAACATGCTTGTGTGTACCTGCTTCTACACACTTACTTAACACAGGCTTAAAAAAAAACCTACAAATCCTGTGTTAACAATCTTACTATAATGGACTTAGCATGTAAGTCAGTATCTATGTATGTAACCAACACCCCTACGCCATCTATTGAATGGCACCACAAACAAAAATCCATAAAAAATTTTACACTTTAGTTACTTAAGATTCAGACAGTTAGAAAAATAACTGTGGTATGTGCAAAAACAATCTTTTTATAAAAGAACCCAATTTTAAACAAAAATACTCTTCTCACAACAAGAACATGACATTCACTAGGACCGTATGTGAGGGTTTGATTACATCTTTATTGATATAATTTTTAAATGTAGTACTGAGAAACTGGAGTTCTAAAAATATTTTTTCAATAAACGGTAGCACTTTTAATATATAAAAATATTACAGTTTATATCTGTAAAATTTATGAAAATTTTTAGCTCTGTACATTGAATAGTTTTGATAAAATAAGTTGCTTATGACTAAAGAGTGCAATCCAAACACTTTTCCCATGCAGTACTTCCCAGAAATAAAATTCTTTTTTTGAAAATGCTCACTTTTCTAAATATTTTTCAATGAGGTATAAATACTATGATTAGTAATTACTAGCACAAGCAGCTACCTGTAGGGCAGTGTTTCTGCTAGTATTTGAGGTATACATGTGGGTATCCTGTCATTAACAAAAAAAAGTTTCAGCTGCAAAGTAAATGGTACATTTTCCCATTCTTGAAAACATGGGGGACTTCTCACCATATACACCCTGAAAGTTATTCCTATGAAACCAACCATCAGTATCGAAGTTACACACTAATTACTACTAGGGTGACTAGAATACCCTTTGTATTTTGTATAGAAAATATTTTTTTCTATGCATTTTGTCAGATACTTAAAATGTTGACATAATTAAAATAAAAAAATATCTTACTCAATATGCTGAAAAATGTGGACTCCACCAGTAGAGAACAGTATATATAAACAAATCATTAATTTGAAAATTAATGTTATATTAACAGCTTTCTTGCATAATGCTTACTCTCACACATACATACAGGGATTATAAAGAAAATCTTATTATTTAAAATATAATTTATTTTGAAAACTGTTACAGGTGGGAAAGCCAAGCTACTGGATTGGTTCTAGGGGCTCAAACATATATATCATGGTGTAGTGGTAAATAAAAAGCTTAAGAGCTCTCTCTCTGTTCCAATTCATTCTTCGTAACTCAGTTATCATTTGACTGAAGTGCTGTTTAATCTCTCATTTTAAAATAATTAAAAGACGACATATTTTCAATACACTTAATAATTATAATTAGTAGTAGGTAAGCACCAAGGGGCTGAGAAAAGAGCTAGAGTATCCACTACACCTTTGCATATATATGAATACAAAATACTGCAGAATGAACAGAAAGAAAGGAATGGATATTTCATTTAGCACAACACATTTGAAATAAACATAAAATACAGAAGAACAGCTACAAGTTAATTAAAATTATATGCCAAACTAAATATGTTAAGTAGTGTACTAAAAAAACTTGCACTCTTTTTGCCTCACTCAGATGTGATTAATTACAAAGCTATTTAGACACTCCTTCCTTTTCTTCTCTGATTTAATGTACAACATCCACACTCTTTGCCATTTGTAAGCATTTCTAGGCTTGACTCTTGGCTGGTCAAGCATCAGAAGAACACTAATTATAATTATTCTTAATCAGAAAAGACTGAAGATACTACAAGATGTTTGAAAGCCCTGTTTTACTACATTCACTAGCATCCCTTTCATTAATTTTCAACAATACACTTGAATAAAATGTAAGTCAATGTGCAGGATACTGCAATAATCAATGATACCTGCAGCAATTTTATATAAATAGGCTTGATATGTTGACTGAGAATGAAAAAAAAAAGATGTTAAACATCTTTGGCAATGGTTTTCAATGAACATGTCTAAACTTTCCTAAATTTTGTTCCCTAGGTCAAGTAGTTTTTAAGATATAATAATTTTAAGTAAGGGTTTTTCTTTAGATTCTCACTATACATACATACGTACATAGAGACACACAAAGTCTGTAATAGTAATGCCCATTGACATTATATAAAATCTGTATAAATTTGTGGTCCTGCCAATTATGTGTGAAAAATAAAAACAAAAGCAGACCTAATCTTACTAGTTTAAAACAAATCTCATTCATAATTCCTCTGCATTCACAATGTGCAAAAGCTGACAACTGGAATTTTTCATCAACTAAGGTTAAAT